GGTTCCCCATCCCAACAAGACACTTATCACCCTATCCCTTAGTGTCTCATTAGCCAGAGGCAGAAAAGTACACAAATTCATACCTGCAAGATAACCCAGTTGAAGTTTTTCCATAGAGGTCTCTGGTTCTTAAAAAGATTCATTTTGATGTCTCATCTAGTAAAAACTCCACTAGGAGTTCTGCTATCAAAAATAAAGACATCAGTGACTCTCCTTTAGAACAAGAATTCTTTTACTAGATGTATTTTTCCTCCAACACATTGTATACTTCCTTGGACTGTGGATTATGTACTATCAACTTTGTGTACACATCTAGACACAAATTAAGTCACTGCTATCTTAGGTCCAATACAAGAAGTCATTTTTCTTCTTTACTATTATAAAAGTCTTTTTTAAAAGCCACAGATTCTTTAACACACCTCTCATTGAGAGGTGAAGTCTATGTCTCCACCCCTACCTTGAATGGGAGTGTGCTTATTACTGTTTTGAACCAGTGACTTCACACCAGAGGTGACACTATGTGACCTCTGAGGTCAGGTCTTTAAAAGGCCAGCAAGGTATAATGTGAATGATAATATGTTTAATTGGACTAACATGCAGTGTATAGTGTATTTGTGCTGGGAAAATCATTTTGTATGCTGTAAAGATATTCAATAATTAAATGAAAAAAGGAGCCGACAGGGAGGCCTGAGACAATATGTAAGAAGTTAAACTACCAAGTTGGAGAGAACAAATATAGACATCCTGCTCAATGTCTCATACCAGTTGAGCCCAGCCTTCTAGTCATGCCTCATCAACATGCCAAACATGTGAGGAAAAAGTCATTTTGGACTCTCCACTTAAGCCCATTTGCCAGGTGAATACTACCACGGGAAGCAGAAGAACTTACCAGCTGTCCCTTGGCTGAATTTATGATTACAAAATAATGAGATATAATTAAATAGCTTTAGTTTAAGATGCTACATTTTAAAAAAGTTTGTTATGCATTGATAGATAATTAGAAATGACTACAGTTTTCACAAAGGTAAGACATAAAAAGTGGCTATGGCGAAAACATTGAGGAAAATTGCCTTTGACTATGAAGTTAACATACAACGTGGCATATGCCAAGCCTCTGTATGGATACTCAGGTTAACCCTTGCATATTCAGCTAACCCCATGATGATACAATTTCTGGTTTTTCATGTTTCAATGAGGATTTTCCTCCATAAGCAGGTATGCCAGAAACTTTTCTTTTTTTTTATTTAACTAATTTATTTTTCATTTCATTTCCTTTTTTACATTCAATCACATTATTATTTGTCTTACAAAATGGATATTTCAACAGGTAAACATCTCTCCCCAACACAGTTGACAAAACCACAAAATATCTGCAAAAGATAATACCACACCTCCCTGTGACATCAATAATTTGCCTCCTTATTTTTCTTCTAAATATCCTTCCTCAGACCCTCCTCTTGCACAAATACTATATCTGGTATTTACATCTATATACTGTGTTTCTATATCCTTTAGTGAATTAGTTTCAGTCATAGAGTGCAGACACTCAGTATACATTAAGCAGGAACATACAATTCCTCTCCTTCATAGCCTGACTTGCTTCATTGAGCAGTAAGTCTTCCATATTCATCCACTTCCTGTCAAAAGCCCAAGTTTTGTTGTGTTTTAGGGCTGAATACTATTTCATTGAGTATATTTGCCACAGGTATTCTATGTATTCATCTGTTTGTGGGCATTTGGGTTGTTTCCATGACTTAGCAATTGTGAAAAGTGCCACAAT